CTTCCCCACTCCTCCATCACTCCCAGCACTTCCCCACTCTCCCACTCTCCCACTCTCCCACAGCACCTTCCCTTGCAATCGCAGAAGGTGTAACACTTGCCCATTCACCTTCTCTCTCCTCACTGTCCAACGCCCAAACACACCTTCCAGGTGAAGCAGCGATCTACCTGCACTTTTTAAAATCTAGTCTACTGCATTCACTGCTCACAATGCGGTCTCCTTTAGACTGACAAGGCTGCTTTGTGGAACATCACTCTAACATATCAGCTCTGGACCTGCTGCAATGTTCCAATGAACCTTTTATTCATTCATGGGATGAGGGCATTGCTGGCTAGGCAGCATTTATTGCCCATCCCTAATTGCCCAGAGGACAGTTGAGAGTCAACCACATTGCTGTGGGTCTGGAGTCACATGTAGGCCAGACCAGGTAAGGATGGCAGTTTCCTTCCCTAAAGGACATTAGTGAACCAGATGGGTTTTACCTGACAATCAGCAATGGATTCATGGTCATGATTAGAGTCTTAATTCCAGATATTTATTGAATTCAAACTCCACCATCTGCCACAGCGGGATTCGAACCCAGGTCCCCAGAACATTATCTGGGTCTCTGGATTAACAATCCAGCAATAATACCACTAGGCCATTGCCTCCCCACAATACAAGCTTGAGGAATAGCACCTCCCCTTTCATTTCAACACTTTCTAGCCTTGAGGTCTCAACATCAAATTCCATCACCTCAGAACATGAACACTGCCTCCTGTCTGCTTTCTCCAGCATTTCCTCTTCACCCTCTCCCTCATTTGGATTTCTTGACTTTCAGCAGACCTGACCCATATTCTGCCAGTAACACCGATTTTGAATCTCTCTCTTTCTTCTCTACACAACTTACTATCTCCTTTTCTGCTTGCTCTGTAACACCTGAGATCTCTAAACCCCCTCACCCTCTAACCTTCCCACAACTCTCTCTTCTGTCCTATTGCTTTCCCTCACCTACTCCTCCTGTCAAACCCATCCGAAAGGGGAGCATGGTCACTGTGAGGGTAAACAGCTGAGTGAGTGCATTTGGAAATTTGGTTCAAAGAGGAAATTTGGTACATTGGGGGGTGGGGGGAGTGGATGTAGAAGTCACAGGTGCTGGGGTCAGGGTGGGGAGCGGTAATGCTGAGTGGGGCACCCCTCCAGTGTCACTCCCTCCTACCTCTGGAATGCTCCCAGCTGAGTGACTGGCCCATCTTGTAGCTGCTCTGCATACAGTTTTTCATACAACACTCTCTCCATGTGCACCATTGTCTCTGTCCACATCTCAAACTGCTCTGGCCCAAGCCTCAGGAATTCCCTAAGTAAAAAAAAAAGAACTGTGGGTGCTATAAATCTGGAACAAATACAGAAATTGCTGGAAAAGCTCAGCAGGTCTGGCAGCATCTGTGGAGAGAAATCAGAGTTAACATTTCGGGTTGAGTTCTGTAGAAGGGTCACTGGACCTGAAACGTTAACTCCGATTTCTCTCCACAGATGCTGCCAGACCTGCTGAGCTTTTCCAGCAATTTCTGTTTTTGTGGGGAATTCCCTCCCCAAACTTCTCCCCTTCTTTCAAGTGCTCCTTTGAACCTTGATCCTTTAACTTTTGTGTTCGTCCCTCCTGCTAACTCATGCCTTGATTGTCAGAATACTCTCCTACCAAGGCCATTGGGTGTTTTTTCTACATCAACGGGTGCTACATAAATGCACCGTGTTGCAGTTGTTGTTTGTAATCAGACTGCCAAAGGGAGGAAAAGATTTTGATACATACTGTGATGGCAGCTGTGGAAGTTCATGAGCTGTAGGGAGAGAGGCCACAGCAGAATTAATATCAAAAAAAACAGATTCTCGGCCAATCAGCTGTAGAATGTTAGAATTGGAAAGCGTATTAGCCAAAACAATGACACAATTGCCTCTGTTTCCAATCAGGACCATCTGGAACAAACAACTGTGGAGTACAGGGTTGGTTGAGGAACATTGCAGGGAATGAAACAGACCATTAGTGGGAGAGTGATAGACCCACAGGACTATACAAAGTCTTTCAAAGAACAAACACAGAACACTGGTGATCGAGACTTTTGTCCTTCTAGGTGGAAGTGGTCATGCATTTGGAAGGTGCTGTTTAAGTATCTTTGGTGAATTTCTGCAGTGCATCTTGTAGATAGTACACACTGCTGCTACTGAGCGTCGGTGGTGGAGGGAGTGGATGCTTGTGGATGTGGTGCCAATCAAGAGGGGGCTGCTTTGTCCTGGATGGTGTCAAACTTCTCAAGTGCTGTTGGAGCTGCACTCCAACCATTTCTTAATATCATGTAGAGTGAATCAAATTCATTGAAGACTGGTATCTGTAATGCTGGGGACCACTGGAGGAGGCCGAGATGGATCATCCACTCAGCACTTCTGGCTGAAGATTGCTGCGAAAGCTTCAGCCTTATCTTTTGCACTGATGTGCTGGGCTCTTCCATCATTGAGGATGGAGATATTTGTGGAGCCTCCTCCTCCAGTGAGTTGTTTAATTGTCCACCACCATTCACAACTGGATGTGGCAGGACTGCAGAGCTTAGATCTGATCCATTTATTGTGGGATCACTTAGCTCTGTCTATCACTTGCTGCTTTCACTGTTTGGCGTGCAGGTAGTCCTGTTTGGTGGCTTCACCAGGTTGATACCTCATCTTCAGGTATGCCTGGTACTGCTCCTGGCATACCCTCCTGCACTCTCCATTGAACCAGGGTTGAACCCCTGGCTTGATGGTGATGGTTGAGTGGGGGATATGCCGGGCCATGAGGTTACAGATTGTGCTGGAGTACAATTCTGCTGCTGTTGGTGGCCCACAGAGCCTCATGGATGCCCAGTCTTGAGTTGATAGATCTGAGAAAAGTCGGTCCCATTTAGCATGGTGATAGTGCCGCACAACACGATGGAGGGTATTCTCAATGTGAAGGTGGGACTTCATCTCCACAGGGACTGTGTGGTGGTCAATCTACTTGAATTGTGTTGTGGGTTGATTGACAAGTTACAGTCTATCAAACAAGGAATGTTCTGAAAGTCAGTTAACAAAACAGAAATACAGACAGGCATATTAAAGCTGGATGTGAATATCATGTTGTTGTCACTGGTCTCTACCTCGCTTGGGCCTCGATATGAAGGAGGTGGTGGTTTCACTCTCCAAACGACAATAACCATCGATTAAATCCGCCATGCTCTCTGCCATCACCACTGATGAGGTTGTGATTGTTAATGGCTGCAGGATTAACAGAAAGACGACAGCTTGTCTTATTGGCTAAATATTAATATTCATTTTGGTAGCAAAAGTTAAAAAAAAACGACTGAGATGTGTAAGTATTGACGTTCAAGGAAACCTGGTTAGTCTCACTAAAAATGTGAAGTTGTTCAGTTTGAAAGGGAGAACAAATGAACAGAATATTATTTGTATGGAGAAAAACTGCAGAAAGCTACAACACAAAGGGACTTGGGGGAATTTGTGCATGAAACACAGAAAGATCGCACACGGGGCAGCAGGTAATCGGGAAGGCTAATGGAATGTGGGCCTTTATTGAAAGGGGGTTGGAGTGTAAGAGTAGGGAAGTCTTACTGTATTTGTGCAAGGTGCTGGGGAGACCACATCTGGAGTACTGTGGGCAGTTTTGGTCCCTTTATTGAAGGAAAAGCATCATTTAAGTGGAGGCTGTTCAGAGAAGGTTCACAATGATGATCTCTGGTTTAGAGGGATTGATTATTGACCAAAGTGTAAACAGGTTGGGACTCTACTCACTGGAGTTTAGAAGAATGAGAGGTGATCTCATTGAAACATATCGAATTCTTAAGCGGCTTGACAGGGTCAATGCTGAGAGGATGATTCCCCTCATGGGAGAGTCTAGGACCAGTGGGCACAGTCCCAGAATAAAGGGGGCACCCATTTAAGACTGAGCTGAGGAGGAATTTCTTCTCTCAGAGGGTCGTGAGTCTTTGGAACACGGAGCTCGGGGCAGATTCTTTGTGAATGTTTAAGGCTGAGACAGAGATTTTTGATCAGTCGGGGAATTGAGGATTATGGGGAAAGAACAGGAAAGTGGATGTGAGGAATGTCGGATCAGCCACGATCCTATTGGATGGTGGAGCAGGCTCGAGGGGCCGAACAGCCTCCTATTTCTTTTGTTCATCATTTGCAGAAACTAGAGCAAAGGTAGAGTACAGAGAAAATCTTGGTCAGCCGTCTGGAATTAGTCCATCATCTCAAATGTTAGTGGTATTAAAACCTGTTCTCATTCACCCTCGTTCCATAGAATGCCAAATCCCTAAACCCCTCCCCATTCATTTCTGTTTGGGGAGGCGATGGCCTAGTGGTATTATCGCTGGACTGTTAATCAACAAACCCAGATAACATCCCGGGTTCGAATCCTGCCACAGCAGATGGTGGAATTTGAATTCAAGAAATATCTGGAATTAAGAATCTAATGATGACCATAAATCCATTGCCGATTGTTGGAAAAACCCATCTGGTTCAATAATATCCTTTAGGGAAAGAAACTGCCATTGTTACCTGGTCTGGCCCACATGTGACTCCAGACCCACAGCAATGTGGTTGACTCTTAACTGCCCTCTGGGCAATTAGGGATGGGCAATAAATGCTGCCCAGCCAGTGACACCCTCAACCCGTGAACGCATAATAGAAAAAAAATCAAACTTCTTCCCATTGTAATAAATTCCAAAAATCTAATTGTTTTAAGATACCCAAGTACTTGGCCATTCGTGCCCACTTTACAGAATGACAGCCTCTTTCCCATTCACCAGTAGTGTGCAGACTTATAACAAACATAGTCCCTTTCCCTACACCCAGAATGTTTTCCATACTAACAGCCTGAACCCTCTCCCCATCCTGGTTTAGGTGCAAACACTGGGCTCTCCCAGCACGGCTCTCAGATAATAATGGGATCATAATGAACACAATCCTCCACCATAGCTGGGATACCATCACGCTGCCTCACCCAGTTAAATAGCACAATCAGAGATACTCCAGGGACAGGTTTCATAGGCACTGGACAAACTGACATTTGAACAACAAGGTTAACAGAATCATTGAAGGTGGATTCAACAAACAAAATCTGAGCATGCTGGATAAACTCAGCAGGTCTGGCAGCACCTGTCGGGGGAGAAATAGTTAAAGGTTCAAGTCCAGCAACCCTTCTTCAGAACAATGAACAATACAGCACATGAACAGGCCCTTTGGCCCTTTAAGCCTGTGCTATCACATTTTGCCTTTCCATACTAAAACTGTCAGAAAAGTTCTGGACTTCGCTGAAATAATAGAAAGAACGTTAACAATTGAAGTTGGATGGGGGTCATTTGTTGAGCAATGTGAGAATGTCAGTACCTGTGGGGCTCCTTTAATTTCGAGCTGAAGGGAAGCTTTCTTTTCACCCTCTGAATGGAGAAAATTAATCGACTTGATTTGGCTGAATTCTGCCAAGGTGATAGGCTATTCAGGATCGAAACATAAAACAATATTTAACTTACTTTAATTTGGTAAATAGCATGCCATTGTTATAAAACACATCTTAATCATATCATGGGGTTAGTCTCTGCTCCCCACAACTAGTGAATCTCAGACACCTCCAGTACAGATAATGACCGTGGGTATCTCAGACCTGCTCTGGGTGAACACTGTCTGCAAGAGGTAAACAGCCCAGGGATAGCAATTATCAGGGTGAGAGTAAACTGACATTGCACTCCCTCCAATATTTCCACCTCCTTACCCCGACTTGGAAATACATCACCATTCCCTCACTGTTGCTAGGTCCATGTCTTGGAATTCCTTCCTTAAGGGCATTGTTGGGTCAACCCAAAGCACATGGACTGCAGTGGTTCAAGGAGGCAACTCACCCCCACCTTCTCAAGGGGCAACTAGGGACAGGCAAGAAATGCTGGCCCAGCTAGCAATGCCCACATCCCATAAACAAACAAGATGAAAATAAGCCAGTTGGAGTGTGCTAGTCAATGTGTCTCACTCCTCGACTTTGCTAAATTCCTCACTCACTGTCTGTGGTTCCAGCCTGAACAGAGACCTCTGCTGGAAATCTGAATGATACAGTCTCTGTACTCACTCCGTCCTTATTGATCACTTGGCCGATTCCATGACGTCCAATGACCAGTTCCACAGTGATGATCCATCCTTGCTGAAAGGCAGAATGCAGAAATAATCGGAGTGTGACACCAGCACACAGGAATTTCACGGAGGAGGTATTTAAAACATCAAACACTTTAACAAACTCTACACAGTGATAATTTCATTATGAACGTTGGACGATTTGAGGACGGCAGAGGGGAGAGCACAGGACAAAGTGAAAATCTATAATGGCACAACATTCAAAGAGGGGTGAAACATTCCTGAACAACTCTTTGTAAGGGCAGGACCTTAGGCAGTGCAGCACTCCCTTGGCACTGCACTTAACAACCAGCCAGGAGGATTACTTCAGGGTGCTGCGTCGGGTTTTAAGACAATGACGTGGTGGCAGCTCACTGAGAGAACTACAGGCTGCAGAGAGTCAAAACTGCACACTCACAACAGGATGGAGCTGTGCTGGTGAGTGGGCGGAGAGGATGTTTGATGTCCACAGTGTTTGGTGAGAACATCAGAGACAAGCTGATATACCGAGCACGGCACCATCCAAATGATTGGGTGAGAGTGACTGCAGTTCATGGCACAGTACAGGAGGGAAAACTCAACTTAGAGCCCGAATTCAGAATTTTCGTTTGAACAGCACAGAGAGAGACAGAAAGAGTAGGGAAGAGAAATGGAAGGAGAAATTGAAGACAAAGAGGTTGGGGGAAGGAGACAGCAAGAAATGAGGAGAAGGTGAAAAAAGATATCTCAGAAAGAAGGAGAGAGTGAGAGGGAGGCAGAGGATAGGGAGAATGTGAAAGAGTAGAGTACACATTGAGAAAACACTGCAGAGTGAAAGTCTTCTTGTATTCCAAAGATCTCCCAGGAAACACAGGGAGAGAGTGAGAGAGGATGTGAGGGAGAGAGGAATAGGAGGGGAACAGGGGCAGAGGGAATGAAAGGGGGGGTGGGGAAGGGAGTGAGGGAGGCATGGAGAGAATGAGGGAGAGAGAAGGGGACTGAGAGGGACAGATAGAGAAGAGAGAAAAGGGGGTGGGGGGAGAGGGGGTGGGGGGGAGGGGGGGAGAGGGGGGGGGGAGATGAGGGGAAGATGGCGGGGGAGAGACAGAAAAGACAGAGAGGGGCAGAGAGAAACAGAGAAAGAGAAAGTGGGAGAGAGAGATAGAGGTAGAGAGAGAGAGAGAGAGAGACAGACAGAGAGCGTGATGGGGGAGAGAGATAGAGAGAGAGTGAGAGACAGAGAGAGAGAGTAAGCAGGAGTCAAGGGAAGTATTCCTAAATTGGAGGGAGTCAGTTGCTGAGATGGATTTGATTTTCCGATTTCACTCAGGTCCATCAGATTGGACTCACCATGCTGCTAGACTATGGATTGGTTAAAACTGTCTTTGTGAGGAGGTTAACAAACTCAATCGACTGATCATGTTTGTCAATGCCTCACAGATCACTGTCTCCATGGCTAATGCCATGGTAAAGGAGTCTGTAAGTCACTGAAGGTGAAATCAGTTTGAGGTTGTGTTGGGGGTAGAAGCATGGGGAGCACTATAATGTGTAGAGAATGTATCTTCTTGTTTTGATGTATCAGATAAATGCAAGCTGTTTCCATTTTAAAACAGACAGAAGCTGTTTCAGTGTGCTGACAGCTCACCGAGACAAGGTCCTGCTCAGAGAAACTGTGTTCCTGAAGCCACTGTGTTCTTCTCAGGGAACAGGCAGAAAGGGCAAAGACATATCACCAGCTGAGATTTAATCTCAGTGAAAACTGAGTAAACACTGTGTTGGGAGAGGAGATGAAGGAATCCAGGTTGGGAGGTCTTTTTTGTTTAAAAGATGAAAGGAGTCACATTTATCAAAATAATAACAGTTGAAGCTTCCTCTCATTTCCACAACTCAACATCACAATGAGAGCTATTGTAGAAGGACAGTCACAGAGCAGTGAGCAGAAATTTCCGAATGGACTTACACCCAGTTCACATTTATAATGTTCTTGTTCAAAATTGGTGACAGTGCGAAGGATTTCGAAAAACTTGGAAATGCATTCATCTTCCTTGAACTGGCTAAACTGCAGGAAGGTTTGCTGGATAAGTTTACGCAAATGCTTGGCCTGTGGGTAGGAGCAAAGAGACAGCGTGAGACGGTTCCTGCTTTCAGCAGCTCATTATTCAAGCTGTGATCTGGCAGCATTCCAACAAGGCACGAAAACTCCTAACAGCCTGCTCTAACTGTCTTTATAACTAGTGAAAGTAATTGTTTTGTTCCTGCACTTTGCTGTGTCAGGTTTTGCTCAGTGTACACTATTCCTCGCTGCACTGAAGGAGTGCTGCAGTTTTCATGCTTCCCGCTTACGGAGAAGATGGAAAACAAAGACATGGCCTCCCCTCCCAGGTTCCCTACATCGTTTGAAAAAGAGCAGTATAATTCTTCCTGGACGCACCGAGCTACAGGGTGCTGCATTGGACCTGCAGAGTATGACACAGGACTGCAGGAGATTGCACGGGACTACAGGGTATGGCAGAGAATACTGAGAAGCTCTTCAGTGTGGAAACAGGCCATTTGGCCCAATGATTCCACACCAACTCCGAAGAGCATCCCACCCAGATCCTTCCCCCTACCCTATCCCTGTAACCCTGCATTTCCCAGGGCTAACTACACATCCCTGAACATGATGGGTAATTTCCCACAGCCAATCCACCTAACCTGCACATTTTTGGACTGTGGGACCACACCAGAGCACCTGGCAGAAATCCACACAGACACGGGGAGAATGTGCAAACTCACTACGTTGGATAGCAGGAGACTACAGGGTACAGAAGAGGACCCAGGATAACGACAGCTCAATGATGATAGCTGACAAAGCTTAGAGGAAACAGTGTGTGTTACGTAGCAGTGGTTAGATTTCTGGTGCGATGAAATGCTTGAGCTAAAGGATGCAAATTATTAAATTCAGCATTCTAAAGAAACACAGCGAGAACGAGCAGAGTGAGCTGGAATCTTGTTCTCCTCCGCTGGGATTTCAACCTTCCCAGCAGCTGATATCAGAGACAAAGACCTTTCCTACAGCATTGACACAACGTCAAGTGAAAGTTTGCTGGATGAAAGGTCCAATCACACTCCATCTTCTTGAGGGCTATGAGGAATGTGCACCAGATTGTGGTCTGGCCCATGACCCCATTCCTCCTCCTGCCCGCAGCCCACCGTAAGAGAATGGTAAAAACAATGTGGAGAATGATCATCTGCAAAAGAGAATCTTGTTGCAGAGTTGAACAAAGGCCAGGTAAAACTAACAGCTGCACAACAGTAAGACAGTTGACCATTCAGCCCCTTGAGTCTATCCCATCTTTCAGTGAGATCAAGACTTATCTAAAGTCCATAGGCCTGGCTTTGTCTGATACCCTGTAAACTTGGCTGATTAAAAACTGATCAATCTCGATTTAAAACTAACAACCGAACTCACATCACCCTCCCATTTGCTCAAGTGTGTTCAAACTTGAACAGCTTTTTCTGATAATTAGTGTTTCTGACTTCTTCTAAAATGCATGAATCTAATTTTTGGACCATTATACAGGTCATGGATTTTTATCTTTCTGTATTTTTGATTGTGGAATGAAATGGGAAAGGAACACTTTTAAAAACCTAAGGAACATCAAGGGATTGTTGCACTTTCTGAAATCAAGTCACCTGATCCTCACTGTAAGTGCTGTTTACACAGCTGACTGTGGGGCAGTAGTTGGACAGGGTTTACAGACCAGGTAGAGCTAGATGGTGGAGAGGGAGGGAGTGGAGCAGGAGGGTATGTAAAAAATGGAGATTTAACCATCAACAGGTAGCTGATTGTTATCAGTAACTGGTCACATGTTCACAGGCCAAGGGCCTTCTGCCTCTCAATGACAATGTGAGCAATGTAACAGACTGAACAGCTTTGGGACCATGAACAAGATACAGGGAAGCCATCAGATCTCCACCAGCTCCGGAGCTGTCTCTGTTCTCTGCAGTAAACAGCACTATAAGCCTTCAGCAGTTCCTGTAAGCTGCAACTTTTAATGAATCAGACAGAGAGCTGCTATAAGTGTGAATCAGTCCTCCTGTGCCTCCTGTAAATAAGTGAAAGCATCTGGAAAAGGAAGATTGAGAAGCAGTGTCTGAGCAGCACAAGAATCATCTCAGAAAACCCTGTGGACAGGGAACTCTGAACTGTCTTCCCAGTCTTTCCCTCTGTCCATAACACCCATATTTTTATCTGTCTATATCAGTCTATATGTGTGTAAGGAGGAGTTTATAACAGGACATGGGTTTTATAAAGTAGTTACATGTCAACAGCTCATCATTGTTTCCCTGTAACTAGATTCTATTTCTTTGTAATGAACAGGAACTCTTGTTAAGGAGATAAACCTGGTTTGTGCTTTCTGTCATCCTGAGTCTTAAAATTAGGAAATTGAGGAATTGAAACCTTTAATTTTGGGTGGTGACTCCAGAACAGTGGGACTTCAGTTCCAGCATGCTGCCCCAGTGAGGTATAAGACACACTTCCTATTTCTGGATTCTCAGAAATATTTTCTGTCCCAATTACCCGGTCTGTTCCCATTAACATCTTTAAAAAGTCTCCCATTGACAAACAATGAGACCAGAATGAGGAACAAATAGGTTATTAGCAGAGATGGTTACCTACCTTCATACTGTCTTGCAGCTGTTTAGGAAAGAACAAATCGAGACCAACCTCCTTTCTGTAACAGAAAAGAATAGGTTGAACAAATGTGGCGTTACATAGCGGCTGCATTGTCTGTGTCTCATCAGAACACAAGTGCAGCTTACGCACTCAAAAACAACAGACAGGTCATTGACAGGAGACCCTGTCACATCTGGATCAGGACCCTGTCACATCTGGATCAGGACCCTGTCACATCTGGATCAGGACCCAGGCTCTGAGGGAGACCTGGTTATACACAAGTGAGTTACATTCTGATGAAAGGAATATCAAAATGCGATTGTGGAAGTTCGACTGGACTTCCAGATTATGTTTTCTCAGAGACCAGCTCATGAGATCAGAAACACAGGCAGAGACACAGTAAGCACTTCCTCAGTCCCCCATTTGTCTGAAATCCCGACAGTGCCCACACTTACTCCAACAAATCAAAATTAGATTTCTTCTCCAGTGCCTTCGGGGGCATGTCCTTATAAAACCTCCTGAAAGCAAGCAGTAAAAACAGAAAACATTTATTCAAAACTTCACCACCATAAGGTTAGCAAGGCACATGAAACTGTGGTCTGGTTCCAACAATGTGAAGGAGAGGAAACTGAGTGACAGTGTGAGGGAGAGGGATTAACATCAGTAGGGATACAGTCAGTAACACAGGGCGCTGGGGGGGCGGAGAGGGGTTACTGAGTGACAGTGTGAGGGAGAGGGATTAACATCAGTAGGAATACCGTCAGTAACATAGGGTGCTGTGGGGGGAGAGGGGTTACTGAGTGACAGTGTGAGAGAGAGGGATTAACATCAGTAGGAATACAGTCAGTAACACAGGGTGCTAGGGGACAGGGGCTGTTTCGATGACATATTGATATTATTAATTTGACCTGATGAACAGGGAGTGTTGCTGAATTACTAGCTGGTTACTATCTGAACCGCACACCTCTCAGTAACTGGCTGCAGATTGCTGCAAGCTTATAGAGCCAGTAAAACCATAACATTTTAAGTATGAATGTCAAGAGCACGGAGATGTGTTTCACCTTCAGAAAATAAAGCTGCAGACTGTGATACATTTTATTTTGGTGATAACATTGCTGGCCATAAGGAGTTGAGCAAAGAGATCACAGGAAGCCGAGCTGCCTGCTTACCAGCAAACTCTCAATGACTCAGTATCACATCAGGCAGCGTTCAGAGAAATCGGAAAGATGGCATGTGGGGCTAACACATACTGTCAATCCACAGTCTCCGTCACTTCAATGATAACAAGAAGTTTCCCTTCAGAGTTTCCATTACACAGAATGACCATCAACCGTGCTTGCAATTCTCGTTATAATTTCACTGATTGCTGCCGAATTTCTTCACAGAAGATAATCCAGTTTTTTTTTTTCTCATTTTTAATTAGAATTGATGTTTCCTGCATGACTGTTAAGATGTTTAGCATGGAGCAGTTTTTAGCTGATTGAGACAGGCAGACCTGGATGCCAAGGGCATACTTCCAATCAGAAATCAGAGCCTCATTAACCAGTAAATCAGGAGTAATTGGAATTAAATAAACTCGCTTTAATTCTGAACGGAGACTCACTGTTTCAGGGGCTTTGTGATTTTTTTGTAGAAATGTCCTTAATGTTAAGAAGCACAAAGCCTCATTTCTCCTAATTTACTTGTTTCTCCTTCAGGTTTGGAGATGATATAAAGTTGAGTGAACTGAGCTTAGGAACAGAAAGAGAATGATCTCAAATCTCGAGCCAACATGTTGAGGTTGCACCTGGTTTTGAGATCTTTATTCTTCTCTGTTTCCACTCTGTTCAATGTCTTTATCAGGTTACCAAAACCCTGTGCACCAGGTTTGACAATTGCCCACCAATGGGATACAGTGAAAGGAGCTGCCCTGCTGCCATTCACCCGAGTTCCCCATTGGCTTCAGGTGGAAACGGAGGGTGAGGTGGAGCTCAGCACACTGCCCCATTCCTTAAAGAGGGAGTCTTACCTGATCTCCAGGCAGCCCAGCTTCATGGCTGTCTCCTGATTGACTTGAGCTGCAACCTCCTGCATGTAGTCACTGCGAACCTGTCAAGACAGTGTCAGCTAATGAGACACTGTAATCTGATTAAACTGTAATGTACCCTGGAGAGCTCAAGGACCCTGAAATCATCAGGTCAACCAAAATGTGACAGTAAACGCATAAAGGCTGCTCTATTAAAAGGTTGGATGGTGACCTAATCATTAGATAATTACCGGGCTGTGTTTCCTGAAGGAATATTAGTGTGTTTTAGTTAAGAGCTGTAACTTAGCAAGTGATGAACTGAAGGTGATGACATGGGTGGGATTTTCTTCAGAAGGTGGGTGCAGACTCAATGGGCTGAATGGCCTCTTTTTATGATAATTCTGTGATGTTTAAATGCAACAAGATCCTGATAATATCCAAGCTTGGGCTGGCAATTGGTAAGTAACATTTGTAACACACAAATGTCAGGCTATGACCATCACCAATAAGAGACAATCTAACCACACTGTTCCTTGATATTCGATGGTCTCGCCATCATTGAATCCCCCACTATCAACATCCCTGGATTATCATTGACCAGAAACTAGTCATAAACACAGTGGCTACAAGAGCAGGTCAGAAGCTGGGAATCCTGCAGTGAGTAACTCACCTCCTGACTCCCCGAAGCCTGTTCACCATCTACAAGGCACAAGTCAGGAGTGTGATGGAATACTCCCCACTTGCCTGGATGAGTGCAGCCCCAACAACACTCAAGAAGCTCAACACCATCCAGGACAAAGCAGCCACTTGATTGGCACAACATCCACAAGCATCCACTCCCTCCACCACCGACGCTCAGTAACAGCAGTGTGTACTGTCTACAAGATACACTGCAGAAATTCACCAAAGATCCTTAGACAGCACCTTCCAAACTCACAACCACTTCCATCCGAGAGGACAAGGGTAGCAGATATATGGGAACACCAACCACCTGCAAGTTCCCCTCCAAGCCATTCACCATCCTGACTTGGAAAATATATCGCAGTTCCTTCACTGTCTCTGGGTCAAAATCCTGGAATTCCCTCCTTAACAGCATCCTGACTGTACCTTGTACATGAAGAACAAGCTTTGGTGAGTCAGGAGTGGACTTACTTGCCACAGTATTCCCAGACTCCGCTCTACTCTTGTAGCCACTGTGGTTATATGGTGATACCAGTTCAGCTTCTGGTCAATGGTGACCTCCCTCCCCTACAGCACATGCACTTCAGCAGTTCAGGAAGATAGCTGACCACCACATTCTCAAGGGGCAAATGGGGACAAGCAATAAATACTGGCCCAGCCAATGACACCCACATCCCATGAAAAAATTTTTAAAAACTGTTTGCTGGCACAAGCCTGTTACCAACTACTCCTCCATATAATGTAGGCCAATATTGCGTGCTATACTGAGTATGGTCACCAATGTGCTAATGAAAAGCTAAAGACTAGAATTGAGGCAGCTAATGTGACAGAGGAAATGCAGAAGGCCCTGTTCAAAGAAAGGATGTAAAGCCGCATTCTACCCAAGTGTGAACCCATCTTCACACTTCCACAAGAGCTGAAGTTTTGAGAACGCCATTAAATGCAGCCAAGAACAACAGTCAGCTTTGTCAGGAAAATATCAGAGCATGGTTGCTGAATGCACTGCCTGAAAAACCAACAGGAAACTATTTCACTCTCAACCATCTTTCTGAAGTAACAGTCTCATCGATGAGAACCTGTTTTAAGCTCAGGGGGTGATTAAATGTTTTCATGAAGAAGTTTGATATTGTTCCCAGGACTAAAGGGATCAAAGGGGACAAAGCAGGAACAGGGGACGGAGTTGGATGATTATGTGGAATGGTGGAGTGGCCTTGAAGGGCTGAATGGCCTACTCCTGCTCCCATTTTCTATGTTCCTATCCCTGTGGGATACCAGGTTGCCACCCTGAAAATGCCCCCTTTATCTCAACTTTCTGTCTATTATTTAGCCAATGCTCTCTACATGCTAATGTGCCACCCCCCACCCCCCGCCCCCAACATCAATGGGCTCTTGCCTCATTAAGAAGTCTAACGTGCACTATCATATCAAATGCATTTTGTAAACCCAAATATATTACAACTACTGCTTCCTTGTTATCTATTCAGCTTGTGAACTCCACAAATAATTCGATTAAAGGCCTCAGGCATGAAGCAGCACTGACACTGCTTGTTCATGTCATGCATTTCAAAATGTTCTGTGATTATACCCATCATAACAGACTTAACATTCTCCCGATAACAGATATGAAGTTAACTGACTCAGTTAGTGGTGCTTTGTCTCCTTCCCTTTTTAAATAAAGCTGTTACATTGACAGTTTTCCAAACCTTTGGGACTTTCCAGAATCTAAGGATTCCTGGAAGATTACTCCCAGTGCATTCACTACCTCTGTAGCTACTTCCTTTAACATCCAAGGATACATCCCATCATGTCTGGAGATTTAGTGGTCTTTAGCCCATTCAGTTCCCAAGCATCTTTTCTCTCGTGAGAGCTATTGAATGTATCCCCTTTCTTCCTTCTGTCCCTTGAATATTTAGTAATTTTGGAATGTTATTTATGTCTGCTAAGGTGGAGAGTGATGCAAAGTATTTATTCAACTTCCCTGCTACTTCCTGCTTCCCCATTTTTATTTCCCCAGCCTCATTTTCTAAATGTTCATTTTTGCCTCTCTCTTCCTTTTTATATAATTAAAGACACTTTTGTTGACCGTCTTGATATTACTTTCAAAAGTATTTTAAAGTATTTATTAAACCTGCCTCATTACACATTGCATGATTCAAAATATCTGATATCTGATTGAATCCATGACATATTGTTCAAGGAAACTGAATGCACTCTACGTATTCTTCCTTGTGGGTTTCTTTACCAGTCTGAAGATCCCAATGTACATAAAGTCACCCATGAATAATGGGCTGCCTTTGCTACATCCCCTCATCATCTCTTGATTTGCTCTCAGTTTTGTTTAATTTATTCATTTGTGGGATGTGGGCATCGTGGCTGGCCTGCATTTATTGCCCTTCCCTAGTTGCCCTTGAGAAGATGGTGGTGAGCTGCCTTCTTGAACTGTTACAGTCCATGTGCTATTGGTTGACCCACAATGCCCTTAGAGAGGGAATTCCAGGATTTTGGCCCGTGACATTGAAGGAACGGCGATATATTTCCAAGTCAGGATAGCGAGTGGCTTGGAGGGAAACTCGCAGTGGGTGATGTTCCCATGTATCTGCTGCCCTTGTCCTTCTAGATTCTACTCCTGTTAGTGGCCTATAGATTACTTGCACCGATGTCTTCTTTCCCATATTGTTTCTTACCTTCACCCTGACGGATGTTATGCCTTTCAATCCAAGATCATTTTTTGCCATTGTACATATTGCACACTGTATCAACAATGTACACCACCATTCCTTCCTGCCTGCCTGTCCTTGTCACATTCTCCTGAATATTTAGCTTGCAGTGTGGTGTGCCAGTTTACCTGTAATGTGCCAAAGGTGAGAGGCAGAGGATTGCACACAGAGGGATGCTCACTGACCTGCTGATAATAACACAACAGAGTAGTTCGGTCTTGTTTAAAACTCTCCATGATGTCTTTAGGAAGGAAACGAATCCTCAGGTCGTATCTGCAAGAAATTCCAAAAGGAGTTTTTCCTTTAAATTCAATTAAGAATAGATTTATTGTTAATTTCTTGACCATAAGACAAAGAAACAGAAGTAGACAAATCAGCCCATTGAGTCTGTTCCCCATTCAGTGAGATCACGGCTGATCTGATAGTCCTCAACTCCACTTTCTTGTCTTTTCCCCATAGTCTTTGATTCCCTTCCTGTTAAAATTCTCTCTATCTCAGCCCTGAATATACTTAACGATCAAGCCTTGACAGCTCTCTGTATTAAAGAATTTCTCAGATTTACTACTCTCTGAAAGAAAAAAACCCTGGACATTACATACTTTACCATTCAGCCCATCGAGTCTACTTCACCATTTAATATGTTTCTCAATCCCCATTCTCCTGCCTCCTCCCGGTAACCCTTGATCCCTAGAGTAATCAAGAACTTCTCTGTCTCTGACTTAAATACACTCAATGACTCAGCCTCCACAGCCCTCTGCAGCAATGAGTCCCAAATATTCCCCATCCTCTGGCTGAAGAAATTCCTCCTCATCTCATCCCTTCATTCGGAGGCTGTGCCCTCGGGTCCTAGTCTCTCCTACTAGTGGAAACATCTTGCCCATATTCACCCTATCCAGGCCTCCCAGTATTCTGTAAGTTTCAGTCACATTCCCCCCTCATCCTTCTGAACTCCATTGAGTACAGATCTATTCAGGTCTAGCATTCCCAGTGGTAGCAAATTCCATATTCTCATCAGCCTCTGGAATGGAATTTAAGAACTCAGCATGGCCATTGTTAGGATAATGAGGTGCAAGCTTTGTTGGAATCCAGGGTTCAGTTTCCTGTGCAGCACCTTGTCAAAGGCCTTCTGGAAATCCAAATACATCACATCCACTGGCTCTCCTTTGTCCAACTTACTCATTAGTTCTCAAAGAATTCTAACAGATTTGTCAGGCATGATCTCCCCTTGATGAAGCCATGCTGACTCTGCCCTATTTTATCATGTACTTGTAAGTACTCCACAATTACTTCCTTAATAATGGGCTGAAGAAACCTTACCAACAACTGAGGTCAGGCTAACTGACTAATAATTTCCGGTATTCTGCCTCATCCCCTTCTTAAACAGAAGGGTTACGTTAGCCACTTTCCAGTCCTCTGGGACCCTCCCGGACCCCAGTGATTCCTGAAAGATCCCCACCAATGTCTCCACAATCTCCTCAGTTACCTCCTTCAGAATCCTGGGGTATTGTCCATCCAGTCTGGGTGATTTATCCACCTTCAGACCTTTCAGCTTCCCCACTACCCTCCCGTTAGCGATGGCCACTACACTAACCTCTGCCCCCTAGAACAAAGAGCAATACAGCATAGGAACAGGCCCTTTGGCCCTTCAAGCCTGCACCAGTACATTTCGCCCTTCTGTCCTCAAACTGTCTTCACTTACAGGATCTACATCCCTCTATTCCCCTCCTATTTGTGTATTTGCCCAGGTGCTTCTTGAATACTGTTATTGTGTCTGCTTCTAACACCACCTCTGGCAGCGTGTTCCAGGCACTCACCACCCTTTGTGTGCCTCACACATCTCTTTTAAACATCCTTCCTGGCACCTTGAACCGGTGTCCCTCTGGTAATTGACCCCTCCGCTCTGGGAAAAAAGCCTTATACTTTCCACTCTATCCGTGCCCTTCGCAATCTTATAAACTTCTATCTGGTCGCCCCTCACCCTCCTGTGTTCCAGTGAAAACAAACCCAGTCTATCCACCGAATCTTCATAGCTAAAATCCCCTGTACCAGGCAACATCCTGGTAAACCTTTTCTGTACCATACCCAAAGCATCCACATCCTTCTGATAGTGTGGTGACCAGAACTGTACACAATATTCCAAGCGTGGCCGAACTAAAGTTCCATAAATCTGCAGCATAACTTGCCTATCCTTATACTCAATGCCCCTTCCGATAAGGGCGAGCATGCCATAAGCCTTTTTTGCTACCTTATCTACCGGTGTTGCCACCTTCAGTGATCTGTGGTCCTGCACACCTCCACATATCAATTCACTGTATAATTTGCACCTGTACTTGACCTTCCAAAATACATCACCTCATATTTGTCAAGATTAAACTCCATCTGCTATTTTTCTGCCCATGCCTCCAACTGACCTATATCCTGCTGTATCCTCTGACAATCCTCCTCACTATACGAAACTCTAGCAATCTTTGTATCATCCGCAAACGTACTAATTAGACCAGCTACATTTTCCTCCAAATCATTTATGTAGACCATGAACAGCAGAGGTCCCAGCAGTGATCTCTATGGGACACCACTAGTCACAACCCTCCATTCCGAAAAGAATCCTTCCACCACTACCTCCGTCTCCTATGACTAAGTCAGTTCTGTATCCATCTTGCCAGCTCACCCCGATACCATGTGAATTCACGTTTTGTACCAGTCTGCCATGACGGACCTTGTCAAAGGTTTTACTGAAGTCCACGCAGACAGCATCAACTGCTTTCCCTCATCAATCATCTTCATCACCTCCTCAAAAAACTCAAGCAAGTTAGTGAGGCACAACCTTGTCCCCACAACACCGTGCTGTCTATTGCTAATAAGTCCATTTGCTTCTAAGTCCCCCGACTCTCTTGAAGTTCTGGTATGCTGTTGGTTCTTCATTTGTGAAAACTGATGCAAAGTACCTGTTCAGTTCCTCTGCCATTTCTTGTTCCCCATTGTTACTTCTCCAGCCTAATTTTCCAGTGGTTCCAATGTCCACTCTTGCCTCATCCTTACCTTTTATCAATCTAAAAAATCTCTTGCAATTTTCTTGTATATCACTAGCTACCTTACCCTTTTGTTTCATCTTCTCCCCCTTGCTGTTTTTTTAGATGTCCTCTGCTGGTTTTAAAGGCTTCCCAATCCTGTGGCTTCACACTAATCTTCTCCTTATTGCGTGCTTTTCCTTTTGCTTTTATGCTGTTCCTGATTTCCCTGTCAGCCACAGTTACCTCATCCTCCCCTGAATATGTTTCTTCTTCCTTGGGATGAATTTCTGCTGTGCCTCCCAAATTACCCCCCGAAACTCCTGCCATTGCTGCCCCACCGTCTTCCCTGCTAGGGACCCCCATTCCAATCAACTCTGACCAGCTCCTCCCCCATGTCTTTGCAGTTCTTTTTACTCAATTGTAATACCCTTACGTCTGATTCCAGCTTCTCCTGCTCAAACCACGGGGTGATCTCTATCATAGTATGGTCACTGACCCCTCTGGGTTCCTTCACCTTAAGCTCACTAATCAGGTCTGCCTCATTACACATCACTAAGCCCAAAACTGCCTTGTTCCCTAGTTGATTTTCCCAGTCCACCTGCATATTGAAGACCCCCATGATTACTGTAATGGTGCCTTTCTTATCTGCCTTTTCTATCTCCGATTTATTTTCTTCCCCACATCCTGACTACTGCTAGGAGGCCTGTATATAACTCCCATCAGGGTCTTTTTTCCTTTACTGTTCCCCAACTCTACCCCCACGGATTTTACACTTTCTGACCCTATGTCGTTTCTTGCCATCAATTTAATTTCATTTCTAACTAACAAGGCAACACCGTCCCCTCTGCCTATTGGCCTATCCTTTTGATAGGATGTGTATCCTTGGATATTTAGTTCCCAGCCCTGATCCCAATAGAGCCACATTTCTGTGATTCCCACAATGTTGGACCTGGCAATTTCAATCTGCACTACGAGCTCATTTACCTTGTTTTGTTTCCTGTGTGTAATTAAGTATAACATCCTCAGTCCCGCATTGGCTGTCCCCCTTCTCATAGTTGTCTCCTTATCTGCTATGCCTGAAGTTAGATTCCTAACCCCTTCCATATTCTCTGTCCTGTCACCTGTTCTGTAAACATTAATCACTTCCACTTTAACTTTTTCCATAATTTTCCATGGAACTGAACCCATTCCCCTGCCCCCACTATTTAGTTTAAACCTGAACCCATAGCCCTATGAACTGAATCACCAGGTCAGAGCGAGTTAGGAGTTTCTTGCCATGCATCGCCATATGCACACGCTTGACCTCCCTCTCCATCAGTACAGCCTTACGCTGGCTCAGAGCTACACTGCGCCCAGTTCCACATTATCCTCCGGCTCATTTGACATTCTAACAAGAAAACATTTTCTTTCTCCTTTGGGCATTACGGCACACAAGATGCAACATTTCAGAAATACCCACAGCCCTCTGGAAGCTTCCTCCCATCCCCTCTCCCAACCCCACCTCCTGTCATTTTTTCACTATTCCTTCTGATCCTATATGTTCTGTATTCAGTAATGGACTCAGTTTTATCCCTCAATCTCCATCTCAATGAATTTTGGGTATGATATGATGTTGAACTCTTTGTCTCTGCATCCATGCCCAATTCATTGGACAGGAGCCCTCTCCCTGTCCCACAGACCCCTTTGCACACCTCCAACAATCTCCCTCCACCTGGACCCCTCCCTCTGGCCTTTTAGCTTCATCAGATCACAGGGTGGGCCACTGGGACCTGCATGGACCCCAGTTATGCCTGTCTCTTCGTGGGGCAGATGGAACATTCCTTGCTCCAGTCCTACTCCGGCCCCACCCACATATTCTTTCTCCAGTATATTGATAACATCATAGGTGCTATTTCCCTCTCTTGTCTGGAATTGGAAAAGTTTATCAATTTTGCTTCCAATTTCCACTTTTATCTGGTTCATCTCTGACTCCTGTCTTCACTTCCTCAACACAGCTGTTTCCATTTCTGGGAGTAGGCTGTCCGACATTATTCACTATAAATCCACCAACTCCCACAGTTACTTTCACTGTACATCCTCACACCCGCTTCCTGTAAAGTCACGACTCCATTCTCCCAGTTCCTCTGTCTCCATCATATCTGTTCTGATGATGCCAACTTCTAAAGGGAACCTCACTTAAACCCATGCCCTCTGGTCGTAGGCTAGTCTGCCATGGGCAAAAGATTCTCACAATCTACCCTGTTTATGCCTCTCATAATTTAGTGTACTTCAAATCAGAAACCCCTCAGGTTCCTCTGTTCCAGGGAAAACAATGCAGCCTATCAAGACCCTCCTCGTAACAGAGACTTTTCATCCCAGGCAACATCCTGGTGAGTCTCCTCTGCACCCCCTCCAGTGCAACCACATCCTTCCTGTGGTGTGGGCACACAGAACTGCAGATGTGGCCTGACCAATGCTTTATATAAAATCCAAAAGATCAGCAGATACCGTAAACCAGGAACAAAATAAAAAATCAGAGTTAATATTCCGGGTCTGGTGACCCTTCATCAGAACAGAGGAAGTTCTGAGGAAGGGTCACTGGACCCGAAACATTAACGGATCTTTTCTTCACAGTTGTTGCCAGATCTGGTGAGCTTTTCCAGCAATGTTTTATATAGTTGTAGCAAGGGTTCAGGTGGAGAAAGGTTTTGGGGGTTTGGTTTATGTATAGAATAAAAGATACTCTGGACTGAATTACAGACTGGAAACTAATCGTGGGGTTCGGGGTGGTATAATGTGTAGAATAAGAAATACCTAGGAGTGAGTTACAGACTCAGGTGGCACAATGGCTCAGTGGTTAGCACTGCTGCCTTACGGCACCAGGGACCCGGGTTCAATTCCACCCTCGGGCGACTGTCCGTGTGGAGTTTGCACATTCTCCCCGTGTCTGCTTGGGTTTCCTCTGGGCGCTGCGGTTTCCTTCCACAGTCCAAAGATGTGCAGGTTAGGTGGACTGGCCATGGGAAATTGCCCATAGTGTTAAGGGATGCATAGGCTAGATAGATTAGCCATGAAATATGTAGAGTTACAGGGATAGGGTAGGGGGGGATCTGGGTGGTAGGCACTTTGGAGAGTTGGTGTGGACCCTTTGGGCCAAACTGCCTGCTTCCACACTACAGGGATTCTAAACTGGCATCTATTCAAGGGGTGCAGGGCAGATTCTATATAGAATAACAGATACCCAGGAGTGATTTACAGAATGGAGTCTAATTGAGCAGTTCAGAGTGGTTTACATACAGAATAACAGATACCCCAGGAGTAAGTTACAGACTGAAATCTAATCGAGGGGTTCAGAGTGGTTTATATACAGAATAACAGGTACCCATGAGTGAGTTACAGACTGGAATCTAATGGAAGGTTTCATGGTGGTTTATATACAGAATAACAGATACCTGGGAGTGAGTTACAGTCTGGAATCTAACTGAGGGGTTTAGGAGTGTAGGAAGCTTTATATTTAGAATGCCAGATACTGGAAATGAGATGCAGATTGGAATATGCTCTAGGAGTTGAGGGAGATGACTTTGCTAACAACCATGATCAGAAGATGAGCAAGAGGGTAGGAGAAAAGTCTTTTAACCTCTTTCACAGGGGCAAGAGTGCGGAGGCTTTCATGACATTCCTGGACCAGTCAGTTCAGCCAAAGTTCTCCAAATGTGGACAAATTAAATATACTCAGTAATTTTTCTCTGATGTGTTAATTGTCACACAAAAGCGAATGAGAGAATACAGACTGTTGCAAATGGTAATACCTCCATTCAGCTTCATGGTGTAGACTCTCATATTTAGTCAGGACCTCATGGATGGTAAGGTCAGGGTGTAGCCAGTATATTTCATCTGACTTCAGATGCTTCAATCTGAGTCCATAGCAGCTCTTAAAAATGATACTGGGTCCCACTCTCCCACTGTCCAGTATTGTGTTAATAATCTCCTGTATTGAAAGGGGAGAAGTAAAGTCATTACACACAATAATTACTGACAACAAAGCATCACATGGCTCATCTGTCTCATAATAAATAGTAATCCATCCAGACGGAGAGAAAGCAGCTTTCATCACCTCAGAGTGGCCCACAACATCCCCTACATTGACTGCAAAGCATTGAACAGGAGCGTACCATCATTCCCTGCTCCATCATTACTATTTCCTGTAGCTGGTGATCAAATACCTGCCCCTACAGCCCCACTGTGCGGTGCGCAGGCTGGTCCATCACATGCAGTTCAACAAATTAACATTGGGAGTTTGGTTGGGAAGTTGGGTGAGGAGGGCAAGTTGGGTGAGGATGGCGTTTGGTGAGAGGGAGAGTTGACTCACAAAGCAATCCTAATTGCAAATCACTTTTTCATTTTGGATATCAGTGAAGTTGATGGCTACTTGGCAGAATGCAGCAAAAGCTACATCCATGACACCATGGGTGGCTCAACTGCACAGGAGAGGAGCAGGAAGAAGGCAAGAGCAGTCACAATCAGGGATTTCTTAGTTCAGGGAACAGAGAAGCTAGGATGGTGTGTTGCCTCCCTGGTGCCAGGGTCAGGACTGTCATAGAGTCTTCATCAGTGTTTCTTCCTGATAGGTCAAAGGAAGAATTTTACAAATGTTGTCCATCTTCATCACAGATAACTGAAACTAGGTCTCTCCACAGACAGAACAACTGGACTGCAATGTAAACTACAAGCTCTGTGTTAGGACTGTGGCTCCAAGGGGCATGCCATAGACACCAACATCCCACAAGTGAATGTTTGAAAAATGACACTGCTGCATCAGTAGGTTCCTAATACGACAAGGTTAAAGTATTTTTTTAAATCTACCATTGATTAAATTGAGATTCATCCATTCTAACTGTGGATCAGAACCTTTGCTGCAGAATCTCACATTTTCTTTTAATGTGCTTCATGTTCTCACCCACAAAGACTTTGAGTGACACCCTTCTCAAAACTCACACTCTGAGCTCCAACTAGTTGATGGATCTTCTGAAAGTTTCGCAAGTTTCACAATAACAACCCCTTCAACAGAAAGACTTTTGTTTTATACTTCAAACCATATAAGGAACGTAAATGTGTCAGAAATGTGCTGTGGACAGACCGTTAACCTTCATTCACAGTGCAGTGATATCCATCTGTAATGAGCAATGCACCAAAATATTCCCTTATATTTAGCGTGTTGGTTCATTGCTGTTTCAGGATAAATCTAGCTCTACCCCTGTCATAGAAATGATTTTACAAGATTATATCCAGAAACAATACAATCAAATTTTACTGTGGCCCATTTAACAAGTTAAAGTCAACTAGTAAACTGTTACTCAGTAACAGTAACTGTGAAGCTGTCAGCCATCATGAAATCCAATATGGTTGGTGAATATCAATGAGGGAACAATATCTGTCATCCTTACCCCGTCTGTTACCATGTGGGGGCAGGAAGAAAGTGTGTGAGAGCAATGGTCAATGGGAAGTCTATCATAAAGGGCACGGAAAAATGGTTCTGAGGCTACAGATGTGACACCAGCATGCTATGTTGGCTCCTTAGTGCCAGGGTCAAAGATGTCACTGAGTAGCTGTAGGAGATTCTAAAGGGACAGAAAGGGAACAGCCAGACTGTTGTGGTCCATGTTGGTACCAGCGACATGGGTAGAAAGAGGGATGGAGTCCTGCAAGCAGAATATGGGGGAACGAGGAAATATGTTAAAGCTAGGACCTCAAAAGGAACAATTTCAGGATTACTCCCAGTGCCACATGCTAACAAGATGAGGAACAGGAGAGCAGGCTGAATGAGTGCGTGGTTGGAGCGATGGTGTGGGGGGCGGGGGGTAGATTCAGATTCTTAAGGATTTGGGACCAATTGTGGAGGTTCCAAAATTGAAGGTCCTGGAGAGATTTCTTTACTCAGGAGGGTACTGAATCTTTGCAATTCTCAGCCACAGAATGCTGTGGATAGCAAGTACTGAATATATTCAGGAAAGAAAGAGATTTTGGAAGCTAAACATTTTGCCCAGCCAGCAACACCCTCATCCTGTGAATGAATAAAGAAAAGAAAAGCTGCCAACAGGGAGTGGGGAGAGAGTGGGAGTGTGGTCTCACTATCTTCCCTCTGCAGATATCAGAATTACTGCCTGCTCGGTCGCTCGGAGAGTCACTTAGTCTCTGTTGTAGCACCATGTTTGTCAGAGAATCGGATGTTGTGCCTCACCCTGATTTCTGTTGCGTAGTTGCATTTGACTAATTTGAAGTTTTTGCCCAGGTTGATGCTGGTGTTGCTGCAGAAGCAGACTTTAAGAATCTTTGTCATCCCTCCCTCCTTGGCGGTCTCAGACTGAATGCACAGAGCCTGGGTCGTGGCATCTCTCCACGTGTCCAAAAGTTTTTGGTCACCTGTCATTTTCCAAACTTCAGGTTTCCTGGGAGAGCACCATCACTGACCTGGGGAGGAAACATTGACACCGATTATAATGAAGCTCATTTTGAAACACTTCAATAAACAAACGCATGAAGCACCTTCTTCAGGCCTGAGCCTTCAGCACCTTTTAATGGCCATGAAGGTCAACCTGGGAATGTTCTTCAACAGAGAGACAGGAGGAAGCTATTTGGCTCCTCAACCTACTCCATCGTTCAGTTAGCTCGTGACTGATTGCCCCCAGCTCCATTTTCCAATTCACTCCAAATCTCTCAAATATCTTTCCTACTGAAGCCCAGCATCAAGAGTGAGGTGAAATTGGCCATGATCCCAGAGCACCTTAGAGCTGCTCTCCCATTCCAAATAATGTGGATAAATTAATCAGGTGACCAGGGATGGGATGCGAACATCCAGGGGTATTTAGCATTTAGGAAAGACGTACAAAAAGGAAAAGGTAGTGGAGTTGCATTACTAGTTAAAGAGGATATAAATACAATAAATTAGATCAGTGTAGAATCTGTGTCAATGGAATTGCGAAATACTAAGGGACAAAAAACATCAGTGGGGGTGGTGTATAGACCACCAAACTATAGTGATGATCTTCAGAATGGCATTAACCAGGAAATCAGAGATGCATCCAGTAAAGGGATATCTGTATTTAAAGGCGACATTAATTTCCATATAGGTTGAACGAATCAAATTAGCTGCAGTACTGGAGAGGAGGAATTCCTAAAATGTGTATGGGATTGTTTTCTGGACCAATATTGAGGAAGCAATTAGATTGGGTATTATGCAATGAGAAAGGCATAATGGGTAATGTAGTTGTGAGAGACCCCTTGGAGATCAGTGACCATAATATGATAAAATTCTTCATCAAGATGGAGAGTGAGGTAGTTGATTCTGAGACTGGGGTCCTGAATCTGAATAAGGGAAACTATGATGGTATAAGACATGAGTTAGCTATGATTAGGAAATGTGACTGAAAGGAATGACAATGGACAGGCAATGCCAAACATTCAAAGAATGAATGGGCGAACTACAAAAATTGTTTATTCCTGTCTTGCACAAGATTTTAAAGAGAACAGTGGCCAAACCAAGGCTTATGAAGGAAGCTAGGGATAGTTTAGATGCAAAAAAAGGGACATCCAAATTGGCAAGAAAAAACAAAACAGCTGGAAACAGTTTGGAAGTCACCAGAGGAGGACCAAGGGATTGATTAAGAAGGGGAAAATCGAGGATGAGAGTTATCTTGTGGGGAACTTAAGAACTGACTGTAAAAGTTTCTATAGGTATGTACAGAGAAGTATATTGGTTAAAAACTGGTCCCCCCTACAGTCAGAAACGGGGAATTTATAATTGGGAACAAACAAGTGGCTGACGAATTAAATTCATATTTCTCTTCTGACTTCACAAAGAAAGACACAAATAACATCCCAGAAATGATAGAGAACACAGGGTTTAGTGAGAAGGAGGAACTGAACCAAATCAGTATTAGTAGTGAAATGGTTTTGGAGACATTGATGGGATTGAAGGCTGATAAATTCCCAGGGCCTGACAATCTACATCCCAGAACACTTAAGGAAGTGGCATTGGAAATTGTAGATGCATTGGTGTTCATCTTCCATGATTCCTTAGATTCTGGAACAATTCCTACAGATTGAAGGGTAGCTAATGTAACTTCACTATTTAAAAATGGAGGTAAAGTGAAAACAGGGAATTATAGATCAGTCAGTCTGATGGTGGGAATGGGAAGGTGCTTGAGTCATCTTGAGTATGAAGGATTTTATAGCAGAGCACTTACAAAACAGTGTTAGGATCTGACATAGTCAGCATGGATTGACAAAAGGGAAATCATGCTTGACAGATCAACAGTAAATCTTCAAGGATGTAGCTAGTAGTGTAATTCAGGGGGAGACATTCAGAAGGCTTTTGAAAAAGTCCCACAAGAGAGATTAATGCGTAAAATTAAAGCACATGGTCTTGGCGATGGTGTATTGGGATGGTTAGAGAGCTGGTTAGCAAACAGGAAACAAAGAGAAGGAATAAACGGGTCTTTTTCCGAGCGGCAGCCAGTGACTAGTGGAGTACCTCAGTGCTAGGACCCCGGCTATTCACAATATACACGAATGATTTAGGTGAGGGAACTGAATGTAATATTTCCAAGTTTGCAGATGACACAAAGCTGGGTGCGAGGGTGAGCTGTGAGGACGATGCAGAGATGCTTCAACGTGAACTGGACAATTTGAGTGAGAGGGCAATTGGCATGGCAGATGCAGGATAATGTGGATAAATGTGAGGTCTTCCACTTTGGTACAAAAACAGGAAGGTAGATGATTATCTGAAGGGTGATAGACTGGGAAATGTGATCTGGGTGCCCTTGTACACCAGACACTGAACGTATGCATGCAGGTACAGCAGGCAGTGAAGAAGGTAAATGCTATACTGGCCTTTATAACAACAGGATTCAAATTCAGAGCAGGGACGTCTTGCTACAATTATACAGGGCCTTGGAGAGACCACATCTGGAATACTGTGTGCAGTTTTGGTCTCCTTATTAAGGAATGATGTTCTTGCTACAGGAACAATGCAGCAAAAGTTTACCAGACTGAGTCCTGGGATAGCAGGAGCTGACATATAAGAGAAATTGAGTTGGTTAGGATCGCATTCACTGGAGTTTAGAACAAAGGTGGGGTGGAGGTAATCTCATAGAAACCTGTAAAATTCTAACACGTCGAGACAGGTCAGATCTAGGAAGGATGTTCCTGATGGTGGGAGAATCCAGACCAGGGATCGCAGTCTAAGGATACTGGATAAACCACTTAGGACTGAGAAAAGAAGAATTTCTTCACCCAGAGATTGGTGAGCCTGTAGAATTAATTGCCACAGAAAGTGGTTAATGCAAAAATGTGTGTGTTATCGGAAAGGAGGTAGATATAGCTCTTGTGGGTAAAGGGATTGAGAGATATTGGTGGTGGGGGGAAAGAGTGGAACTATGGTATTGAGCTCGATGATCAGCTATGATCATATTGAATGGTGGAGCAGCTCAAGGGATTGAATGGCCTACTCCTGCTCGTGTCTTTTATGAGCTTGAGGGTCAACAATCTCAGAGTGAGAGCGAGAAGACAGATGCAGGCAGGTGGGACTAGTTTAGTTTGGGATTATTGTTGGCAGGGATTGGTTGGACCGAAGGGTCTGATCATGTACTATATAAATCCACGACTCTATGGCCTTCACGGTGAACTCAACGAGTGGGAAGTGAACCTGCATGTTGTGGTTGCTGTGCTTTACAAAGCAGCCTTCCAACCAACCAGCTAAACATCCTCCTGCATCCCCGTGCCCCTTTGATGGTGTGTGGTCCAGATTCCCATCGCCCTTGTATAAAGATGCACTTCCTGACATCACTCTGTATGTTCTGGCTGCCTCAGTAAGATCCATGTACAACACATGTAGGGAGAACACAGTGGACACTGTAAACAATTCACACTCTAACTCACACCTGGAAAAACACCTTGCAATGTACTAAAATCCAGAACCAACTGAGCTAGCAGAGCCAACGACACATTTCTGACATCAGAACAGGGACTACAGTGATTGGTTGAAAAGCACTTTGAGACATCCAGTGGTCAGGAAAGATGCTGCATGAATGTAGTTTTGTGAATTTGATAATTGCTACATTCCAAATAAACATGTTCGCTCATGACTACCCTCTCAGTCCGTGATCGACAGAACTGTATGACACAAGGAGATGGAGTATTTTTTAATCATTGGCAGAAACCCAAGTTGTAGATCTACAGATATTTGTGGAACTACAGTCATATAAGCAGAGAAATCAATCAGTGTCTCACACATTTGACTCCAAGGCCAGTGTCCCTGCTAATACACACAATGAGAGTATTGCAGAGTAAAAGGACAGTTTTACAGGAAATACCAATGTGAATTGATGTGTGTTGGGAATGTCCCAGTCAATGCAAGATGAAAAGTTCTAATGTTTTTCAGCAACACAAGTTCTGTGCGACAAAATGATGATGAATTGACACAGTCATCTGTGAGCCAGGACTGAGTGAATCACTTTTCTTCGTATAACCTTGATGGTAACTTTAATGTTTGCTCTTTGCAGCTATTTCCATTTCAGGTCTGTCAGATTATGTAATTAGGAAGAGGACTGTATTACTTTAAATGTTTCAATTCTTTCAAAACACCTGTGGCATGGATGAGGCAATCTTTAAATGATAAATCCCACAAGTGACTGAATCAAGTGCTCTAACTGCTTATAGCTTTTCCCCGAACACAGCCTTGCCACTAGGCATTGCCAATGGCTGCTCCTGGCTCATTATCTCCACCGCACATGGGCAGGATCAGGAGCTTCGTGGAAACACAGCAAGGAGACTAAGGTGTGTTGGAGATTGGATCTATCTCTCATTTTACATTTTATCAAGAGGCTCCCACACTGAGCGAGAGATCTGTCCACCAGGATCACATTTCATCTGTGAACGTGTTATCGCGTTCCTAATGACACCCCATTTTTAAATACACAGAAACAAACTAGAGTGTTAATTTGTGATAGTTTGCCAATTGTCTCTGTTCTTGGTGCTGTCTTCAGGTCAGCTCGGATCATACAGCCAGGCAGGAAGATAGTCAATCCATCAGATGTGTACTAGGCCCTTGAAAAACAGCTCTGCGTTGCAGGAACCATTCACTATGGGACTAAAACCATTTCCTACTTTACCACGATGGTCACAGCACAAGTATATCCCATCGCTCCCCCCTCCCTGTGATTCCCCTCTACCCCCATCCCCCTCACTGCTCTCTCCCCCACAGTCTCCTCCCTTCTCCTCCTGTCTGTCTCTGTCTTAAACACACCACAGCCCTCTGCAGCAATGAGTTCCACAGATTCACCAACCTCTGTCTGTAGAAATTGCTCCTGATCTCAGCTCTAAAGGGTCATCCCCTCCCCCCAATGCTGGGCCCTTGGGTCCTAGTCTCTTCTTTTGTAAAAGCATCTTCTCCATGTCCACTCTATCCAGGC